CCTGAGCAAGAGCGAAACCCCGTCTCTACTATAAATAGAAAGAAATTAATTGGCCAACTAATATATATAGAAAAAATTAGCCGGGCATGGTGGCACATGCCTGTAGTCCCAGTTACTCGGGAGGCTGAGGCAGTAGGATTGCTTGAGCCCAGGAGATTGAGGTTGCTGTGAGCTAGGCTGACGCCATGGCACTCACTCTAGCCTGGGCAAGAAAGTGAGACTGTCTTAAAAAAAAAAAATCTATGGTGCACTATTTTAAGGAGTAAACAAGAATTTTGTCTTGTTCAGCTAGAAAGTGCTCTCCAATCATTGTACATTACTATTGTTTATATTGTTGTAGTTATGTATTGTTTCAATTGACCCTACTTGATAGTATGTCCTGAGGTGCTATTCTTTCGTGTTCTAAATGGCACACCATGCCATTTAGAGGTATTACAGCTTAATACCTCCTTGTAAGCCAACCCCCTTGTGCCATTTACTTAGTTGGACACTTGAACAATTATAAAACCAGGAGAATTCTTTTAGTACCAACTATATACTTAGTACTTCGCTGGGGTTCTGAGCAAGCAGAAAAGATAATCCCTATGATGGTTTGGGAAGAAAAGACCAAAGCACTAGAGATAAAAATGAAAAAAAAAAAATCACAAGTTAATTAAATGCTCAATTATCTGCTAATGGACCATAATACTACTGTAATTTACAGGAATATGTGACTGATGTGGTTCAGATAATTTAGGAGTTTTGTGGAAGAAGGTAGAAATGGAACTAAAATCCTGAAGAGTTTTCATGGGTGGAAAAAATAAAAGAAGATTCTGGGAGGCTGGAACAATATAAGTAAATCACTGAAGTGGAAATAAAAACGAACATTTTGTCATCTGCATTTTTATATTACATGAGGTATAGGACCTGTGGCCCTGTCAACAGTCACTGCCTGTGGTAGAAGTGGGGAATCAGTGGGTGGGAGCCTGGGTTAGGGTGACGGCTGGGGAACAGAGAAGAAGAACTTACACATTTTGAAGATGAGACCAGCAGGACTTACTTATAAGAAAATATTAAAGTACTTCCAGTTTTCAAAGACATTCACCTACAGTGCATCCTGGCCTGGTATCCTTTCTCACAACAGTGCAGAGAATTTGTGCCTGGATCATCTGCGGTCCCTACCCCATCATCCCCTTAACCAGTGTCCCCTTATTAAGAACAAATATTTTAATCACTTCTTTACTGTCCTCAAATGAAATTCACTATTAATTTAATATATTTAACACATAATTTTGAAACCGTCAACGTCATGCTTTACTGTAATATATAGGAAAATCCAAAGCATATGGTTAATATTAAAACATACATTTCAATATGTAAAAGCCCAGACATGACTACACTGGAAGACATAACGGAGTGGTCAGATAGAGCTATACGTGGAGGCAACAGCTGTGAATGCAGGCAGTACAGGTATGTTGTGTTAATAACACGAATGGCGTCGTGACCTTCAGCGACACTGTTCTCTAAAAGGGTGGGCGACACTTGGTAAAGTTCCAGAAAGAGCTGAGTCTCCCCTCAGTCATTCAGTACTTGCATCCCCAAGAATTCAGAGTGTAAAAAGCCATGCAAAAACACTTCAGTATACGTGCAAGATAGAGTTCAGTACACTCAAGTGATTTTAAGCACATTTTTTACCTGCAAACATGTCTAATAGCACTTTGGAAAGTCTTTCAGGATGTGGGACAGCTTTTTCATTGTGACTGAGGCCTTGCGGGACAGCTGGCATTCCTGGCTCTCAGCCATTAGATGCCAGAGACATCCCTCTATCATTGGGGCACCCAAAAGTGCCCCCAAGATTCCATGTGCCTCCAAGGGAGCAGTGCCAGCCCCACTGAGAACCACCAGGCTGGATGTCGGCTCTCAGGTTTCAGCCTCATGACTCAAGGGCAGTGACAGAGAGGGAGGCTGGGAGGGAGAAGATTCGGATGAGTCCAGAAAAAGAGTTGGCTGTGCTGCTTTCCTCCTTGGTCAAGGGCAGCCTTCACCTTCTTAAATACTTCAAATCTGGCTTTTGCAACCTGGAAACAGTTTTCAAGTTCTGAGCCCAGGTGGAAGATAAAATGAGGAAAACATGATATTTTGTAAGAAAAAAATCGCAAACCTTTTTTGGCTTAAAGGCCAACAAGCTCACTCTAAGTCCCTGCCTTTCGTGTTGGCCTATTGGTAGGAATGTATTGTGTGTCCAAGAGTTCAGGAGAAATCCAGTTCAAACATGAATGCTTGAAACAGTTTTGAGATTTAATTCTTGTTTTCCTTTATACTACAGGTATGATCTCATCTATTTTTTTTTTTTTTAGTTTGTAAAGTATGTAATAACCTCTAATCTCTCTTGGCATTTGCATGGTACACAATTGAATGCACTGAGCAGATGTGCGTGATTGTTTAGTATTAGTGCTCAGCAGGTCGCTTCTGCCTGGGAGTCTAAAAACAAATGAAAAGGGCTTGATCCACTTTGAATGCTTTCCAGAGGATTTTGAGCCTTGGATTTTTATTTAACAATGACAACAACAACACACACACACACACCCCTCTTTCATATGAACCTGTTGTATCAAATTTGTAAAATGTCATTTGGACAAAAGATACTGGGCATACTTCAAATGCATGCTGATTTATGGTACTCCATGGATATAAATCTGTTTGCAGCCTTATTCCAGGATGAGGTTTATTCATTTGTCAGTCGGATGCTGTCACAGGACAGCAGGTGAGGCTTTGTGAGAAAGTCAGAACTAAACTGGACCCGTCATACTCTCAAGTAGCCTGTTGTCCAGTAGGGATGAGAAAACCTCATGGACATTATCAGAAGGAAGTGGTGAACCTTTGGAAAATAAGGTGGCAAACTGATGGAATCTCTAGGGATGAAATAGTACTTTCCTCTGGAGGAGGTGGAATTTTTAACTCGAGGACCTTAAAGATTCATTAACGTTTAGACAGGTAAAAACACATTAAATTTTGAGGAATGGCTTTCTGGGCTAGAATCAATTTGAGCAGGATTTTTTTTTTGTTATTAAGTGATGGGAAGTGTGGTGTGCATTCTCTATTTATTGTCTGATTGTAATTATGTGACTTTGAATAATAAGTCATAATAGCTATAAAGAAGTCTCGTTCAGCATTACTACCTTTCTGAAAAAAGAAGTCTTTGAATTTAAAAGCTGAATCTTTCTTCTCACCTTTGCACTGAAGAAATCCCTTTCACACCTCCAGGTCTTAGGATGCCACTGTGACATTTCAAAACTCTGGAGTATACCTTTAATTCCGTTCACAGTAAGTGCCATCAGAAAGAAGGCAGGTCTGTCAGGATCATTATATAAAGAGTTCAGTTGCTAAAGTAGGAAAGGTTCTTATTACCAGGTGGGTCCCATGTATTGAACTTAAGAATAACACAGAAATCGAGCCAGAGCCACCCAGGACGCCCTGCGGTTTCCATGCCCTCCCTGTTAGACTGCCTGTGTCCCAGGACTTGAATCTAACTGCCTTCTGCTTCCTGGCACCTGTTCAGCCTTACCATCTCTCACTCATTACTTTTGGCGTTTGGTTGTACCACCTGCTGGTAGGCGGGAGATTTGACTCATAGCAAGTTAGTCAAAGTGAAATTTTGGCCAAAATGTCATGCTTGTCAAAACTTAAGTACTCTGTTTCCTTCTTTTTATGCTCTGTCACCCTGGGTAAAGTGTAGTGGCATCATTGTAGCTCATTGCAACCTCAAACTGCTGGGCTCAAGGGATCCTTCTGCCTCAGCCTCCTGAGTAGCTGGGACTACAGGTGCCAGGACACCTGGCTAATTGTTCTGTTTTCAGTAGAGATGGGGTCTCGTTCTTGCTCAGGCTGTTCTCAAACTCCGGAGCTCAAGTGATCCTCTGGCTCCAGCCTACCAGAGTGCTAGGATTACAGGCGTGAGCCACCGTACCTGGCCAACTTAATTGCTCTGTATTGGAAATGTTTTACATATGATCTGTATGGTCGTTAACTCAATGTATATGTGTATAAATAAACTCGTTGAGTTGTACTCTTACAATTTGTGCATGTCATGTACATTGCATCCCAATAAAAATGTAAAAATAGTAACAACAATGAATACCAACTCTCCCAGTCACTATTCCCAATTTCGGTTTATCTTGGGGAATGTAGCAATGATTTATGCATTTTTAAGTATTTTAAAATAAATTTTCAGAATTTTTAGTATTTTCCTTTTTTATTTCTTTTAAATTTCTTTTTCAATTAGTTGAAATCACCTAAATAGCTAACAAGGGACAATTAATTGTACCAACTATATAATAACTGACCAAAAATGAAAAGTTTTTGAAACAAAAGAGGATAAAACCAAATTTCTAGGAAAAGAGGATGATACTTGTTATAAAACCATCCTTTTAGTGCTTCAAGGTTTCTGACACTTGAATACCTAGAATTTGTGGATGTTATTTTTCAGCTGAATTATTATTTCAACCAGGTTGTCATGTTTACTAACTTGCATCTAGTCTCATCTTTTCAGCCAATTCTTAACCTCCCCCAACACACACATGCATGCACACACAAACACACACACAGCTTCCATTCTGATGTCTATAGCTTTTGGTTAAATTTCAGACCATAGCTTAGCAGTGAGTGAACAGAAGTGCATGATGATGTCAAAGTGAACAAAAATAGAACTTATGGAGCTTGTGGTAAAATCTTTACCTTTAGCACTGGTTGTCAAGTTTCAAACACCAAAAGAGAGAAAAATATTCTCTTCTAAAAGACAGCTTTTAAAAAAGAAAAAAGAAAATTGATGCCACTGAATTATAGCTTTTAAATCTATAAAGTCAAGGAATTATATAGAAATTAAATTTGAATTTCTTCTCCCCAAGAAACCCAGCCAACTCACCATCTTGGATGGATTTAGTGATAGGATGAAGTGCTTCTTAACATTATTGTGTTTTTTTTCCAAAGGTAAACATTTAACATGAACTCTTTTGTTGGAACAGGACAGCTGGGAAGTGGTGGAAGGACTGAGGGGGGAGATGAATTATACCCAGGAGCCACCAGTCCAGAAAGGATTTTTGCTGAAAAAGAGGAAATGGCCCTTAAAAGGCTGGCACAAGGTAAGACGTTTGCCTTGGCCTTGCCTTTACTTGCACCCATACTAACTTTACTAAGTACCTGGTTCCTAGGCACTTATATTTAGTTTGAAGTTGAAATTTGAGACCCAAGGATGTTTAAATGGAATCTTCTAATGACTAGTACTTTCTTTACTTTCTTCCCCACAGAGATTCTTCTATCTGGACAAAGGAATCTTGAAATATGCCAAGAGCCAAACCGATGTAAGTCTTCTTGTGGGTACAATGTGCTTCTTTAAGAATTTGGAAGGGGTAATTGTTGTCAGTTCAGGGATGAGGTTGTGACCGTGGATGACTACACCTCTCCGACCTAGAAACCATGGAGGGTCGTAGTCTCTCCAGGGGGGACAGAGGTGCCTGCTCTTGCTCTGGGATCTGGGTAGGCTCAGTTGCCCACCTGGGAAAGGTGCGGGGGCTCCTCCAGCACCCAGTGAGTATCTGAAGGTCTGTTCTGGTCTTGGAGTTGTGCCCAAGGAGTTCCCTGGGTGGGAGAGGACATCCTCACAGCTGGGGAACAGGAACAAAACACAGGGCGAGTGTCACTCCCACTCTGACAGTGACTGCGGGTCATTGAAGGCCCTGGGGAGAAGGAGAAGGTTCTCTTCTAGTTAACACTGGGCAGTTGGCCTGTGAGGGCCCTGCCCTGTGTGGGGCTCCTTCTCCCCTCCTTCGCTCCTCGCCTAGCTTCCCTCAGCCTCTTTCCCGTACTCCTCCTTTTAAATCACTTCTAAATGAAACTAATTCAGTGGGAGGCAGTGCAGTCAACAGGTAAATTCACTGCCATGGGAGTCAACCATGGGATCTGCTGTCCTGCTCCCCACCCGCTGGCCGTGTAACTGCTTGCTACTTACCTCCTGGTACCTCCGTGTCCTCATCTGTGAAACAGGGAGAAGGCTTCCTGCCCCAGAGATGAAAGAAGCTGGTGCATGCACAGCACTTAAGTCAGTGCAGGTTCCCGCTAAGTGCTTGATAACGTGAGGGTGGAGGAGGGGGGTGTCGAGGATAGGGTGTTCCTTTTAACAGCGTGGTTCTCGAGTGCCCTTATTCCTGCCTCTGCAGATAGAGAGAGAGAAGCTGCATGGCTGCATTGACGTTGGGCTCTCAGTGATGTCTGTAAAGAAGTCATCGAAATGCATAGACCTCGACACCGAGGAGCACATCTACCATCTGAAGGTGAGGCTGCTTCCCGCTGTGCAGTTTGTTGGTGCTGGGAAGGGTTTGCCGGTTGTCACACTACTGGTGATGCCTTTTGGGTCTTTAGCCAGCGTGTAGAAGGTCTTCATTACCAAATGTCTCTGTTTCTAACAGACAGCATTGATATTCAGATGGGACAGGTCTTTGCTGTGCAGGACTGTCTCTCACACTGCTTGAAGGTTTAGCATCCTTGTCACCTCATGTGCTAATTACCACCGCTCTCCCCAGCGTTGGGACAACAGTCAATAACAAAAACATCTTCCTGTTTCCAAACCAGCCCCCAAACCAGGCAGCAACATCTTTTTTTTTTTCTTATTTTGGCATATTATGGGGGTACAGATTTTAAGGTTTCGATAAATGCCCATTCCCCGCCTCCCCCCACAAGTCTGAGTCTCCAGCATGACATCCCCAGATGGTGCACATCTCACTCATTATGTATGTATATACCGCCCCCTCCCCCCACCTGCCCAATACCCTATTACTGTAGTACCTATGTGTCCACTTAGATGCTGCTCAGTTAATACCAATTTGCTGGTGAGTATATGTGGTGCTTGTTTTTCCATTCTTGGGAAACTTCACTTAGTAGTATGGGTTCCAGCTCTAACCAGGAAAATATAAGATGTGCTATATCACCATTGTTTCTTTTTTTCTTTTTCTTTAACTTCAGACTAATGATTGGCACAGAAAAGGCAGTAACATCTTTAGTGAAGAACCATTGACCATAGGTTAAGTTATGTTCCCTGAAATACAATATAACATTTAATCAGTGGAGCCCTGTCTTAAAATTTGGCTAATTTTATAGAGATTCCATTAAAATTTCCATATTACAGTGAAATGTCAGGAATTTTTTCCTAAGGTGTGGGTCTCCATCTAGTACCTCTCAAAGCTGTTTACCCTTTCTGCTCTCTCTCCCATAGGTGGTAGAGATAGTTAAAAGCATGAAGCATGAGATCTAGATCTGGTTCAGATCTTGACATGGCTGCTTACTAGTTGTTGGACTTTGGCAAATTACCTAATCTCTAAAAGTCTCAGTTTTCTCACCTAAAACAAAATGAAAATTATTATACTACTCATCTTAGCGATACATGTAGGAAACTTGGCATAATGCCTGGCCCACATTAAGTTCAAGAAGTTTAGTTATTGTATATGATTAGTAAGTGGTACCTGAATGTTAGAAATTATTAAGAAAATGCTAAGATTCTCTTCTTTTTTTTTTTTGAGACAGAGTCTCACTTTGTTGCCCGGGCTAGAGTGCCGTGGTGTCAACCTAGTTCACAGCAACCTCAAACTCCTGGGTTCAAGCAATCCTCCTGCCTGAGCCTCCCGAGTAGCTGGGACTACAGGCATATGCCACCATGCCTGGCTAATTTTTTCTATATATTTTTAGCTGTCCAAGTAATCTCTTTCTATTTTTAGTAGAGACGGGGTCTCGCTCTTGCTCAGGCTGGTCTCGAACTCCTGAGCTCAAACGATCCTCCCGCTTCGGCTGCCCAGAGTGCTAGGATTACAGGCGTGCGCCACCGTGCCCGGCCTAAGAGTCTCTTCTTACTCGGGCAATTTACTTGCCATATTGGGAACAGGAGTTGAAGATTAGGAAAATGGAAGTGTGAGATCGTGAGCTCCATGTCCTAATGTGTCCCTGTCCCTGTCCATAGCATGTGTGTGGATATCGAGCAATACAGGCCTAACACGCACAGGTAGCTGGTTGAATAGCCAAGACAGCCGAGTCCCTACTATTTCCTAGCTTAACTGTACCTCTCGGTGCAGTTGATTGTACAAAGCAGGGCTTTTCAACCTCGGCACTGTTGGCATTATGGGCTGGGCAACTCAGTTGTGGGGGGCTGTTGTGTGCGTGGCGGGATTGTGAGCAGTGTCCCTGGCCTCTGTCTTCTCCCTAGGTGCAGTAGCATCCTCCCCCAGTTGTGACAACTAAAATGTCGCCGGTGGACCCTGGGGGGATAAAGTCACCCCTGGTTTAAATGACTGGTTTTAAGTAAAGGAGGGAAGAACCCATAATCTTAATAGAAAAATTTGAGAAAAAAAATACTACTCCCCTACCCCCACAACTCCTATTTCCATGTCAGTCTCCATTAGAATGGTTTAGGTTATATCTCCATATACTTCCAGTGACTCTTAGTTCTTACATTCTGACATGGTCAGGAAATAGTAAAGTTCTTGTTCATCCACTATTGTATTAACAGAATTATTCATTCCTGTATAAGTAATTATAATTCCTGTATAAGTAATGAATAAGTAATTATTCATTCCTGATTTTTAAAGAGTTAGAATACGTTAAAATACATTGAATGCTAATATCATGATAAATGCAGTTTAATATTTTTCTGTGTGATTTGCTTTAAGTTCTGATTGGTTTCTTGTTCATGCTTTTGAAATCAGCTGTGACTGTTAGTGTAGGTAAGTGTAGTTGTCTGAGGGCTCTAGTTATTAGCCTCAGAGTCAGGCAGTTTTTTTAAGGTGAGCCATTGGGCCCCATTCTCTTTATAAATGAGAGATCTGGGCAGCAGAGAGGTTAAGTGACTGTCCACCTATGGCCCTAGAACTACTTGAGGGGCCAGAACAGAGCCCTAGTCACTTATTTCATAAAGTGCTTTTATTCTTCTGCCTCGTTTAACTAATTAAAAAAATGAGTCAAGATGAGTGCTTGGGCACTGACTTTTAAGGGCCTCTGAGAATAGATCAGTGCAGAAGATGACACAAGATTCCTGTAAAATTCCTCTTAGCCACATCTGGGAAATGAAATACATTTCCAGAAAGTAATTTGAGGTGGACAAATAGATGTTGAGTCTGTCTGTACTGCTTTTTCCTGTAAATTACACATTACATAGCACCTGTAGGGGTTTTCCGTCTTGTAGGTACCCCTGCTAATCAACACAAGGGTGGCCTAAGAGTTCCTCAATGAATGATGGTGGTGACATTTATTTGCATATCCTAGCTCTCAGCTGTGGCTTTAGTAAAGCTTTTCATAGGATTGACCTGGATCTTTCATCTTAGAAGTCAATCCACCGTGCATCCTTTTGAGTTATTTTAAATTGCAGCTTCCTAAGTCTTTGTGTCCTAATATATAGGTATCTATCATTTTTCACTTTGAAAATATTAATACCCTCTCATACATGTGCAAAATTATTGACTCTTAAGAAATATCTGTGGTATGTGTTTGTTACATACTTTTTGGTTATTTTCTAAACATTTGAAATATTTTCTAATAAAAATTACTAGTTACAAACATTATTCTTCCAGGAAATTAGAAATTGATAGTCATTCATCCATGGAAGGAATGGCTAAATGTGAGTGTGATAACAATAAAAGTTGAAAAAATAATATTGCTGTATAATGCTTTATCCGATTTTTTTCCACATTTCTGAGAGGAGAAATGTTCTTTTAAATAACCTGCACATTCATTAACATATACTCCTCTGCCGTGTATTCTTTGTCAAAGGAGATGAACAAGGTTAAATATTTTAGGAAGAATTTACTAATTCATTCTAGTTCAGAGAAGATTGATCTGAAATGTCTGAATAATACAAGGGTTTAAAAAGAAAAATGGTGGTAATATTTTCAGTAGGGATAAGAGAAGCTGGGATTAAAGAACTTGGAAATGCTTTAGGGACAGATAAATATAACTTGCAGTTCATCTGTTGTTTAATATAACTGGCACTGTTTTACTTTCTTAAAAATAGCATAACAATTGGACTCTTTCATAGAAAGCCTAAATATATGCTTTACGAAGATCGTTTTTACTCTCCATTTCCTCCTCAAACTTGTTCCTGCAGAGCACGCGCATGTAAACCAAGTCAGCATGAGGCTATTTCTATATGTGCCAACTTAAAAAAGAGGATGTCAGGAGTGACCTCAGTTTAATGAATAATGGCTCCTTCCAGTGAGTGACTCTCTTGTTTCCTTCTCTCAACTGAACACGTTTCAGGTGAAGTCAGAAGAAGTCTTTGATGAGTGGGTATCGAAACTCCGTCACCACAGAATGTACCGTCAGAATGAAATCGCCATGTTTCCACGTGAAGTCAACCACTTTTTCTCAGGGTCCAGTGTCACAGATTCTACATCTGCGGTGTTTGACGCCATTTCAAGTAGGAAGGTATTAATAAGTGTTTTGCCGATAATGAACGTGAAAGAAGGGGGGGGCTTAGTGTGAGGGGGGCGTCCCATCTTGGGAGCTGCGCCTGAGGCAGGAAAGGTTTGTGGGGAGGTACGGGGTCAGCTTGGGCTGATTTTTAATGAGTCTGTTTGCCCCGTGAGTCGGAACCAGAGCCATCTATTAATAGATGAGCATCTATTCATCAGGGGACAGTTATTGAAGAATAGCACATAAGGAGGAACTTAATATCCCTGAATGCACTAGCTTTCTCTTAACCAGTTTGACTGTGGCTTCCTCATCAGGTTGTAAAATACAGTAGGTGTGCGTATGGCGGGATTGCAAAATATTTTCAGACATTTATGTTATTATTTTGGTATTATTGTTATTTGACAAAAGAAAATAAGGATTTCTATCCAACAGCTCATAGTATAATATGGCCAAGCTGGGATGACAGCCAGGGGCCTTAGTGCTTTGCTAGAAGCTTCCTCCTCGTCACAAGCAGATGGTGTCCCTTAGTGACTAGCCTACTCTGTTAACCTTGACCCTAAAGTGTCCCCGCTGGGCTCTGTTTTCATTTACAATGTGCTTTTGTTGTCTGTGGAACAGCGCAGCAGTATATCAAAACAGAATTCATTTCAAACTGGAAGCAATTTATCATTTTCTTGTGGTGGTGAGACACGAGTGCCATTGTGGTTACAGTCTTCAGAGGACATGGAAAAATGCTCAAAAGGTACAGTGACTTAAAACCTCTGCTCCTTTCTGTCATGGCTCCTAAATGACGCTGGTTTGGTGTCACATCTCAGATGCATTCGTGTCCTTCCCCTTCCCCTATCCATATTTCCACCCATATTTTGTATATTAAGGTCGCACTCATTGTCCACAAAGACACTGTCCTTGAAGAGCTTTACGTCTTCACCTGGCTGTGTTTGCAGACAGGTTTCCTTTTCTGTTCCTTGAGTACTGATGCCCGATTTCCACCTGGGCCTGTAAATCACAGTCAGGGGTGGCGTCTGCTCAGCTCTCTAATTTTTTAAGTGCCCCAAATGACTCTGATGCATGTCCAAGGTTGAAAATCAGTGTCCTTGAGGTTAGGGGGTAGCCAGATGGAGAGCCCTACGAGTACGTCTTGCCCACCCTGGCTGCACGTGAGAACCATCCAGAGGGCTTGTGTGATGCAGGAATACCCAACCTCAGGCCTCTCTCCGAAGCAATCTCTTTAAACTGGGCTGGAGTGGGGCGGTGGAGTCATTCATTTTGCAAAGTTCCCCCGGTGATTTTGATAAGGAGCCAGGGTTGAGCACTCCTGCCATAGTAAGGAAGCTTAGCATTTTCAAGCTTAATCAGCTGAGACTCACCTGAGGAACTAAAACCTGAAAATATCCCAGGTGGGATTGGGAATAATCTGATTTAATTGTCTTGGGATGTTATTTGGGCATATGTAATTTAAAAAATTTCTCCAGTTGATTTAAAAGTGTAGCCACAATTGAGAACCACTAGAGAAAGATGCCAGGTGGTCACCTTGCAAATTGCATCTTCTCTTATTGAATACAGATATTATTAACCCTGGGGCCATGTAGGCTTTGCCCTTCTAATAAATATCACTCGAGAGCTTTACTGAGTGACATCTTGTCAAAGTGGTCCCTGAAGTGTGTGTCTGGACTAGCAGCATCTGCCTGGCAAATTATTAGAAATGCAAAGTCTCAGGCTTAACCCAGGGGAACTGAATCAGAAACTAGGGGTGGAGCCCAATGAGCTGCAATTTAACAAGGTCTCCATGTGATGCCAATGATAAAGTTTGAGAGCCACTATCCTAAGTCATTTGGGCCTTTATTCCTCAGTAGAAACATCTGTCGGCATCCAGGGAACGGCAGATTGTGGACTATCTTTTGGGTTAGTGACTAGGATCTGGTCCGGGAGTCCTCTTATGTCCTCTTAGTTCCATCTGCAGAGGCTCGTCGTGGTCCTGATGCAGGCCTGTGATTGACAAAGTTATCCTTAGAGACCAGCACAACCTTCATTTCAGTTTTATCCATTTCATGTGTATTGAGGTCCTTACAGGTAGAGCGTGGCAGCCTATTGTTGCAGGATTAGAAATGTCGATGATGATGGCTGATTTATTTAGTTCTTACTATGTGCCAGGAACTCCTCTAAGCACTGTGCAAATACCAACTCAGTCAACTCTCACAGCGATCCTGTAAGCTAGGTGTGTCATTACCCCTATCTTTCAGATAAGGAAACTGAGGCACAGAGTAGTTCTGTAATCTTCCCAAGAGTCACAGTTCATGAAGTGGATTCAAACTGCAGCAGCCTGGTTTTCAAGATCCATGCCCCAAATCACTACAGTCTGTAGCCTTTCCTGTAAAAAAGGAAGTAAAATTTCCTACCCTTACAGATGAAAAATCAAGTAGAGATAAATGAGAAAAGTAGCTGGCACCAGCATAGTTGACCCCACTTGCCAGTGGAGTATTGTGAGCACCCTCTTTTTTCCCCCCAGACCTGGCACACTGCCACACCTATCTGGTGGAAATGAGCCAGCTCCTGCAAAGCATGGACGTCCTGCATCGGACATACTCGGCACCAGCTATCAACGCCATCCAGGTTAGCCAGACCCCAATTCTGTCTGCGTTCTGGCCGCCTTCTCCTTTCCTTTCTCCCCCCAGCCTTTGACTAACAGTGGAATGTTGTCTGGTCAGTTGCTTCAGCCAAACCCAAGGGGATGGAGGTGGCCACTTTGCTATGCATTTATCCCTATTGGTTTGGTGGACCTTACTGTCTGTGCTCTCTTTCCTGTTTTGAAACAAAGGGTGGAGCTTTTGAAAGTCCCAAAAAGGAAAAAAGATCACACAGGAGGTGGCGGTCCAGAGCTATTGGCAAAGATGCTAAAGGAACGCTGCAGGTAACCGTGGCTTCCCCCAACACACTGGTTTCTTCATTGGTCCTGCTCTGCACGCTGTGTGCTGGGGCTACTTTGACTCAACAAGGAGAATAGATAAGTAAATATTCTGTAGTTGTTCTCTCCCATGCCCTCTGCAGAGAGAGGAATTCAGTCACTTAGATTCTCTGGATACTAGGATAAGCACGTAATAGGTAGTTGGGCAGAGGAGAGAATGTTTTTTCTAATGGGAAATGGCATGAGGTTACAGGGACTGCTGCCACTTCTATGACTTTTGGTTTCCCCTTCTCTAATGTTTAGCCCACCTGTCCTCTTCCCTGCTGGGGTGTGTGCCTTGTATGTGACTGCTGTTGCCATGTGCTCTGACCTGCCTCCTCTGCTGATGCTCAATGGATTTGTCCTCCCTCTGAGGCCTCAAGCTTGATTTTTCTGGACACAGGATATTGTGCAGATTCTCTTTTGCCTCTTATCTCCAAACTCCCAAGCTCCCTGTCGGAGGTTCACTGTGTCATGCTAGGAGCTGTCTTTCTTAATGCACAGCTAAGCCACAGGCCAAGATTAACAGCTTGGCTGTTGCATATTAAATTGCAACTTTGTTAGGATCAAAATAAATCCCAAGCTTTTGAATAAAAGATATGATATACTCCTATATATCTTAGTTCAAAACACTTTATGGGTTACATTTAAATACTATTAAAGTAGAGAATGTTCCATGTATAAACAAAGTTCCTTTGTTTTGTAGAAGCCCCAGGTGCAAAAGAAAAAAACAAAGCATTTTATACCTATCCACTGTTAACAACCTAGATACTGGATGGTTATTGCCAGGAGAAAGGAATTGAGTATAAATGAGAAACCTGGCAGCTTTCATTGTCATTTTCAACCTAGCTTTGATGCTTCTATCACTTTCAAAAGAAGATGTGATTTCTCACCCATTTTTAGTTCACAAGATGCAAGTTGCTGTGAAGTTTTCCTGAGTTTTCGTTTATTTTTCTTATAAGTTATCACTCGGTAGAAAGACTTGCCTATAAAATCTTTTTCTCTTAATATGTTCCAACCTTGGAACCAAGTAAATATTCTAAGCGATCTACATCTGAAAAGAAATATCTCCCTTTGATGTCACTTTAGGTCCCTAAACCTTTTCCTGGCCCAGTAAGACTCCACTCCTCCAATCCTAATTTGTCAACACTAGATTTTGGAGAAGAGAAAAATTATTCTGATGGCTCTGAAACCTCATCAGAGTTTTCTAAAATGCAAGAAGATCTGTGTCATATTGCCCATAAAGGTAAATGAGTTTTCTTTTTTCCTAATGTGTTTGATGAAAACGTGAAATGCATGTCTGAATGTGGGATGTCCTTGGAGAAGATATCCTTAATTGGTTCATTTTCTACTCTATTAAGATTTTGGGGAACCTAATTTTTATTTTATTTTATTTCTCTGGTAATGGGGAGTGTCTTGGCAAGAAGTTTCTTTTTAACCTCTTGAGAGAGACTGTAAGAATGTTACATATATTTCAAAAGCTGAGCTAATCATATGATGCTATTGGGAGTGTAAATTGTACTTTTGTGGAGGTCAGTATGACATTATGTTCCAACTGTTTTTTTTAAATCTGCCCATCCACCAATTCCACTTTGAAGAATTCATTTGGAATTAATTAACTTAAAATGTATCCAAATAAAGATATCCGCTATAGCATTGTTCATCACATTAAATATTAGAAATAGGAGTTCAGCATTATTACCCATCAGGTAAATGTAAATTAAAGCCATGATGAGTTATCACTACACACCTGTGATAACAGCTGAACTATAGTATCAAATGCAGGTGAGGATGCATAGAAACTTAATCTCATACATTGTTGGTGACCATGTAAAATGGTACAGCCACTCTGGAAGATAGTTTGTTATATGGTAAATATTAATATATGTTTAGTTTTATATAACTCAATACTTGTATTCCTGAGCCTTTATACCAGGGACATGAAAATTTTATGTCCACACAAAAATATACACACAGATGTTCAGAGCAAGTTTATTTGTATTAGCCAAAGACTGGAAACAAACCCAAATGTTTTTCAACAGATGAATGGTTAAACAAAATGTGGTATATCCATATAATGGAATACTACTCAGCAATAAAAAGGAACAAACTATTGTTACACACCCCAACTTGGATGGATCTCAAGGACATTGTGCTGAATGAAAATAGCCAGTCTCAAAAGGCTACATAGTGTATGGTTCTACTTATAGAACACTTTTGAAATGATATAATTAGAGATGGAGAAGAGATTAGTGCTTGCTGGAGGTTAGGAACAGGGAAGAAGGAAAGGGGAGCAGTGTGGGTGTGATTATAAAGGAGCAGCACAAGGGATCTTTGTGGTCACAGAAAGTTCTGTATCCTGGTTGTGGTGCTGGTTACAGGAATCTGCACATGCGATAAAATTGCATTGACTTTTACCCACACCCGTATAGTGCATGTAGAAATCTGAATAAGATCTGTAGATTACACTAATGTCAATTTCCTGGTTTTTATATTGTACCTGTTATGTACATGTGACCACTGAGAGACACTGGATGTAGGGCATATGGGACTTCTCTATACTATTTTTGCAACTTCCTATAAGCCTAGAACAATTTCAAAGTAAAAAGTTTTAAAAAATTAGAAATGACCCTAAAAGCTCAATAATAGGGAATTAGATTTTTTTTAATCTAATATAATTAGAATACTCGGCCATAATAACAATAGCTACCTTAGATTGAGCACATTAACTATGATTTCAGGTATTTGCTAAGTACTTTACATGCATTGTTTCATTTAATTATTGTGGAGTAGGTATTGTTGTGATCTCTGTTGTAGATATGAGAAACCTAAGGCTTAGTGATGCTAAAGAACCTCAGAGGGTCACATGGCTACAAAATAGCCATCCTGAGACTTAAACCCTAACCTGCTTGGCCCCAGACTCCAAATTCCTTACCTGGTGTTTCACTACCCTGACAGATGAGGTGGCCAGGGTTATTATTTATAGACATGGGAAGATGTCCACAATGTATCATTGAATAAAAATAGAAGATTTCAAAGAATGTATAGGTGTGATCCCATTTTTTTTTGGAAAAAGGAAATACAGTTTGTGCATATATAGGTGTACGAAAAAGTCTGTAAGGATATACACTAATGTTTCGGTGATGGAGGCTGCAGTTATAAGTACTTATTATCTTTTTGCTTATCTTTTTTTTTTTTCAATTTTCATATACTGATTATTTTTCTTAAAAGACAAAATAGATTTAAAAATGTCCAGGGGGAGGACAGTGCTTGAAGTGGGAGGACAGAACATGTTCCCTCTTGTGCCTCCCAGCCCCATATTTTTCTGTCTTCACATTACAGATTCATTCCTTCGGCTCTCTCTTCCCTTACCCTACAAATATAAAACATAAAGTTCATTATGAGGAAACCATTTCATCCTTTTAACAGATTGCTACCTCAAACTCTTGTCCTAGCCACCGTTAGAATTCTGTGAGTGTTTTGCACTGCTGTCGAACAATCCATCTGTAAAATGGGAAGAGATACCTGGCCCACCCTTTAAACGCTCTTCAGACACTCCCCTGGGCATTCTCTAGTATTAAAAGAATCCGTTTTAATTAGGGCATTTTAGGTTTTGTGGGTAGAGATGTCTATAAAACACCATTATTTTTAATAACATGAACCGTCTTATTAACAAACGAGACGATAATGTCTCCCTGCAAAAAGGAAATGTCCTGAATTTTCCCTACATCGAAGAGGCTCCTCCTCAGCAGGACAGAGGTCGCCATACTCAGGGGGCCCATCGATCAGTCCTCCTGCAGAGGCTGCCACCTTGTTGAAAACCTATAATGGGCCCCAACCAGGTGTTTTTTCTTTCGGGCTTTGTAAAAACCTGCCGGCTGCAGAGCCGCCCCGTACCTGGACTGGGCTAGAAAGGGCCGGGTGTGCTTATTCAACTACAGCCTGAGCCCCGTGGGCTGGCTGACAGCGAATTCCACAAGCAGGCAGCCTAACGAGCTGTGCTTCATTCCTGTGGTTTTAAAGTACCTTGCAGAGACGGAAAGACCTTCCTTTTCCTCGTTCAGGGAGTAGTCTCTTTTACACAGGCTGTGTAATTCAGGGGCCTCTCGGAGTAAAGGCAGCGCTCAGGTTTGCCCTAAGCCTGTGACCGCGCATGCTTTCTCGCTTCCGTACATCCAGACTTGAAGCACCTTGACCTTTCTTCCTGTGTCCGCCTGGTTTTGTTCCTGGCAATGTCTGTCGTACCTTCTCGACTGTGTCACTATTCTATTGACTATAATTCTGAAGCAGCTGAACTAAAGGCAAGAATTCCACTGATGTAACATAATCCGTGTGACCTTCCACTTGTTAAATGCATCTGAATTCTCCCGGTTTTGTAGATCAAATGGTAGGCCAAGTATATACCCATCCTAGTTTTTAAAAGTTCTTGTTATATATTACAGACTGTGAATTTGATTTTTTTATAGCATGACATTGAACTGGTTCTCACTGGCTCATGTTTCTGGCTTGGTGTGTATGTTGACACACATGTAAGCAAACAGACTATGAAATATATTAAAATCTGAAAGCCTTAAGTAAGTTTTTGTTGCATATATTAGCTTTTATATTTCTCAAAATGTATGTTATGGAACACTTCACCTATAAAATGTTTTTAAAAACAAAACAAAAATTTCATGATTGAAAATGTTTGAAAACACTGCTGACTATGATACCCCTTCAATTTACACAAGAAACATTAAATAGTGAAGGCACTGAGAAGTCCTGCAGCAAAGAAACTTGATAGCTTTAACTCAGTGATTTTTAATATTATTTGAAAAGCTCATCTTTCCCTAATCCCCAACACCTGTCAACATCCTGGGACTAAATAAAGTTCCTGAAAAACATACTTTAGGAAACAATGTAAATAATAAGTCTTTTTTTAGAGCTCACCATGTATATCAGCTGAGTAGGCCACCTGTTACTGACTGGCTGTGGGACTTGGACTTCACGGATTAACCTCTCTGGTCCTCAATTGCCTCCTCTGTTAAATGTCCTAAATTAGTTGTCCTGACTTTTTGGCTCTCAAATTTTGTAATTATCTTCTATGATTAATTGTTTTGCCCTGAATAGAAAGAATCTATATCATTATAAGAAGGTTTCATGAGAGAGTGTTCTGTTAGCAGCAGAAACAGATATGACCAAACCTGGTGAACAGATTTAGGGGTGGGGAAGCCAGGAATAAGGTGGGGCCAGGTGCTCCCAGTGGAGGTGGATATTCATGTTCTGCCTCAGAGGGAAACGAATGCGGTTTAGGGGATGCTTTTCCTACAAGTAAGGGAAATCCTTACTTACAAATATAAAAGCCAAAAGAACAACAAAATTACACTATATTAACTCCTTCTTTGGTTCCTGGGTTCTTTCCCTACATCAAATGGTAACTGTTGAGTTGGTCATTTTCTGAACCATTTTGTGTTTATGGAAACATTGAATAAAAAGCCAAGTATGTTAGAATGATACCTCTTTCATAGATTAAAAGCTAAAAGATATATATGACCTAAAGATAAGCCAGATTATCTATTATTCCTAAATTAGAATTCAGCAGAAGTGTGTCAAGCAATTAAATTATCAGTAAATAAGTAGGACCATTTAATAAAAATTACCTAATATGTCTAAATGAATTTGGATGAAATAAGTGTAAGAAAATATTTTAAAACCACAGATCTCCTGTGAGGTTTGAAACTTAAAGGAAGAAGATTATAGAAGATTAAATTATCCCAGATGTATTAGGGATTTTAACATTTTAAAGAAAGTTTATCTAAAATGTGGGTTCCATTAAGAAGAAGGAAAGGGAGTGTTCCCCTGTGCATTGGATACTCTATGATTGCATGTTTTCTCATTCTTCAAAGCACTCCTGAGATGTGGTCATTATCCACACATAGAGATGTGGAAACAGGATTTGTCCAAAATCTGAATAGCAGCTGAGTGGCAGAGGGAGGATTTAAGTTCAGGCTTGCCTTGTGACAGAGTTTCTTTCCCCTGTACCACACAGCTTCCATAGGGGAAGTGCCCATGGCATTCATAACTACATTCCTCAAGATCTTACTCTGTCCTGATGCTGAAAAGCACTAAAGAAGGCGCATATTAAGAAGTAGAGCTTGGACACGTTGAGTACTGTTATCCTTCAGTATAAATGTTCAGTATCCAAACATCCCATCTACAATAGTCTCATTGCCCTAACTAAAAGAACAATGTGGAAGTCTATAGAATTGAAAGGTAGTGACCACCAAGAGTCAACTGTATGATGCTTATTATGTTTCATTCTGTGGATGCAACTTAAGGTTTCTTATAGTTACAAGTCCAACCTGTGTCCACTCTCCTAGTCCAGCTGGGGGATCTGAGAAATGGCTACTGACATCTGAGAAAGAGATGAGTAAACAGAGATGCCATAGTTGCCTTCCCATATTTGAATGCCCCACAAAAGAGGAAGTGCTCCTGTTTTACAAGGAGGGGACACCAAGACAAATGTTATCTCAGAACAGGGAGAACTTTCTAAGTCCCAGGGCACAATGTACCGCTTTAGGAGATAGTGAACGCTCAGACAAGCATGGGCTGAAAGAGCACTTGGCAAGGAAGCTACAGATGGGGAGGAGTTGGTTGTGTCGTGGGGTGAGTGGCTTTGGTGACCTTTGAGGTTCTCTGTAGTTCAGGGCATCTAAGACTTTCTATGTGTTTTTTTTTTTTTTTTTTTTTAATCATCAGGCATCCAGAGATGTGAAAACTCATTTGGATCTTCTATTTTTTTTTAAGCTTTTATTTGTCTCAAATAAACTTAGAATCATCTTAGAAATAAGTAAGAAAACAGTCTTGTCACAGAGCATCTTCCTGACTTTTGCAGTCTGTGTCTTTAACAATTTTTTTTATATTAATGTGTCTGCCATAAGCAGCCTCTTAATAGCCACTGTGTGTGCTGGATCATTAGGTGGCTGCGAATGACTGTTTTAATGTTCTCTGAGTGGGCCTTTTAATAGTCATTTAAGAAATTTATGGCATGGGGATCTGGTCTTCCAAACCCCTTTGTCAGAGGATTTAGGAAGCATTTTACACCTTACAATGAAATATAATGACTATGTGTTTCCTTTTGCTTATAATTATTCCCACCGCTATATATTTTGAATATACAAATAGTGTATAGTCTGCCAATTTTTTAAAATTTAGATAGGAATCTTCTAGTTTGTTGGAAAGCCTTGCCCACCTGTAGGTCATCTGGAAGCCAGAGGAATTGATTTGGGAATGTGGCAGCCAGCTGAGTGCCACGTTTATTTTATTTTGAGCAATAAATATGACATGAAGAGGTAGTTCCCCAGGGACCCACAGAGATGGCCTTGGACACCCTGTGTGTGGGTGGGTGGGGGGAGTGCCTATCTATTAATAGATAGTGAGTAACTGCGTGGCTTGGTGCTCTCCTCCTGGGCCTGCTCATCTACGGCTCAGTAGATTCTGGCCAATCCCTCTACCTCTATGTGCAATTTACAAGCATTGTCCTGGCAAGAGACTAAAGCATCCTCCTGGAACTGCTACCCATATTTCAAAAGACTGCAGCCATCATCACTTTCATCCTCATGTGTCTCTTTTGATCATCATCACTATTATTGCAGTAATATTTCTTATTTATTACAAACCATGCACTGGGTTAAGTGCTTTACCTGCATTATCTTACTCAATCCTCATAACAATCTTATAAAGCAAATGCTGTCATTATCTCCATTCACAAATGAGGAGACTGGGGCTCAGGCACATGATATACTTGTGCAAGGTCCTGGAGCAAGCAAGAATCCAGGGCTGATGGTGGAGCCCAAACTGTTGGTCACTCTTGTGCTGCCCATTATTTAGATCAGTTGCATTTTGAAATCAGGGAGCTAAGTATGTTCCATAGGCATTGTTAGAAAATCAGTGCCCATTGACCCCTGTCTTTTGTTGGCAGAAACAGCACCATTGTGTGTGTGTGTGTGTGTGTGTGTGTGTGTGTGTGTGTGTAGAGATTGCTGATTGTTCTGTGACTTTGTGAAGATGCTCTGAGTCCATCACTAAATCCCACAACCTCAGACAAGATCAGCAATGACAAGTTCAGTTCTTCTTGCTGTTAAATGAAGGAAGTAAGTCAATAATGCCTATTTAGTTTCCATGTTACTAAATAGGCCACTCTTGAATAACAGTACCTCTAAAAATGCAACCCTGTGGAATTTAATAATGTGCCAGGTCATTTGAGAAGACATATATCGCAGTCTCTTCCTTCTTCCTGCCCTTCTCAAACAAAATACAATAAAGGAGATTGGAAAGATAATATTCAAATGGCGATATCCATGATCAATAATGTAGATGACAGTTTCCTCATCCCTAGGAGGTAACTTGTACATTATGTGCTCAAAACCTGATGAGTTTTTTGCTATGTACATTAATGGTTTTTAAAACTTCAATTGAGGAATTGGAGGCCCAGTGGTGCTTGGCTCTCCTTGTATCTGAATGCTCACTAAAGTGAACAGAGAAGCCAAATGCCAGGACTGGGAGGTGGGGGGCTTCTGGGTCTTGCAGCTGGAAGGACTGTTAAGAAAGAGGGGAGGCTACACCTTATTCTGAAATAATTTCAAACGTATAGAAAAGTGGCAAGAATAATACAAAGAACTCCCATATGCCCTTTACTCAGATACACCATTTTTAATATTTTGCCACATTTATTTTGTCTCCATTTACACACACACACACACACACACACACACTCACACTTTCATTTTTCTGAAACATTTGAGAGTAGAATTCATACATCATGTCGTTCTTTATGGCTTTATACTTTAGTATGCAGAAATAGGGATATTATGTTACATAACTACAGTATAGTTATCATATTCAGGAAATGTAGCATTAAAACTATTAATATTTTTATCTATTCTGCCTTCCATATTCAAATGTCAATTATCCCAATAATGTCCTTTTACACCATTTTTCCCCTTGAATACAGGATCTGGTTTATGATAATCATTGCATTTCATTGTCATGCCTCTTTAGCGTGATAGTTTTTCAGCCTTTCTTTCTCTTTTATAAAATTGATACTTTTGAGGACTACAGACCAATATAAAAAGAATAGATACTCCTCATTTTGGGGTTGTCTGATGTTTCCTCATGATCAAACTCAGATTGCTGATCCCTGGTTTGCATATAACAAAGAAGATGTGTCTTTTTCTAGGTATCATACACAGAGGCCCACAGTCCACCTGCCTCTCACTTGTAATGAATTTCGATCACCTGGTTAAGGTGCTGGCTAGTTTTTCTGCATTGTTACCATTTTCTCTCTGATAACCAATAAGCTTTGTTCTTAATCATTTCCAGTCTTTGGGGATACAAACAAAACTGAAAGCTGATCATTGAAAACCCAGAGGCACAGTCCAAGTGTCAGATATCTTGATGATAAGTCATAAAATCATGAGATGTTATAGTGGATAAATTATTCAAATCACATTCAAATTATATATGTTTAAATTTGAATATATATTCGAATTATAAATTATTCAAATTTTATTCTAACCTTTCATCAGATCTGCTTATTTGAAACACCAGACCTTAGAATTGGCAAATGTGTGTGTATGTGTGTTCATTTTAATAGACTTTATTTTTTTGAGCAGTTTTAGGTCTACAGCAAAATTGAGAGAAAGTACAGAGACTTCCCGTAAACTGCCTGTCCCCATGTAGGCACAGCGTGTCACACTACCGGCAATGACACTGGGGTGGTGCATCTGTTACGATCTATGTACCTACACTGACATATCATCATCACCCAGAGTCCTCAGTTTACCTTAGGGAGCACTGTTGGTCTTGTACTTTGCCAGTGTGTTTTATTTTAACAGTCAAGGCCTTGTGTACATTTGCTGCACTCAACATATTTGGGGCTATTACTTTGCTAAATTTGTTTATAACAAATTAATTTTTCTGTATTTCGTTTTTAATTATGCCTCTTCCTTTATTCCTTTTTGTAATGATTATATCTCTGTAGTTTACTTCACTTTAAGGTCAGCTTTTAATATCATGTCAACGGAGAGAGAGAAACTGAGGCAGCTGATGGAGCAGGATACCTCCTCCTCCCCTTCTGCTCAGGTCCTTGGTCTGAAGCATGCCCTGTCATCCGTAAGTTACATGTCTGTGTCACAGAAATGCCTGAAAATGTGTCTAGGCTCATGAATTTTTTTGTATTTTTTTACTTCCATGGTTGTGTTGAAAATTCATCATTGTCATGGTCTGTGTTGAAAATTCAGGAGAAAACCAAACAAATTATTCAAATTATATTCTAACCTTTCATCAGATCTGTGTATTTGAAATACCAAAACTTGGCCTACCCCAAATCTTAGTAGCTGATATTTTACTTAAATGTTAGATTCTTTAAGTTTGGTTTCCTCCGATTTATCTTAATTTTTCTGTGTCTCTCCAACTTGTATGTTTGTGTGTGTGTGTGTCTTGCAGACACTTGTTTGTTAATGCTTACAGAATCTGACAGTTTGGAGGAGGTTTTATGGCCCCAAGACACCACTAGCTTAGACTGATTTTTCCAAATGACAAGTAGCAGAGCAAAATTTCCAATTCACACTCTTATCTTCTCTATTGCAAAGCACAGATCCTATTTACTGCTCTTTCAAAGACATGTGAGTTATTTTATTTGGTTAGATGGTACAAAACGTTTAGCTCCCTGCCCAGCCCCATGGCACAAAGAGATGAGTCATACAGGAGTGTCTGTCAGACAGTCCCTGTGCCTTCATAATAACAGAAAAATCACTGTCGCGCCCTCAGATGTTTTTCAGTATACCATCCTGTCACTCATTCCTCTTTTTCGTCCCAGTTTTCAGTTTATTCCTCAGAATAGCTGGGCTCAGTTGAAGTGCTGTGCCCTAACCCGATTTGAGTAGCTGACATTGTCTGGTTTTCTACTCTGTGTCTGTCAAGAGGCTAGAAAACTTTTGAAATAGCATACTAATTTGCTCTTATTTTTTACTTTGAAATTTCTACTTTAGACAGAGAAAGAGTGTGTGCACATAGGAAATGCCCACCTGAAGCAATACTGAATTTTCTATTTCGGATCAGGTAGGGGAGGTGGCGAATTTTAGGATCTTGTTACCAGACGCCAGTGCGGTCATTGAAAGAACTAGGACATGTCTGTTCATATTTTTTATTCATCATGTTGCTGAGAAAAGCAATGTTCTGGGTGTAATGTTAATGAGAAAAATCTTTTACCAGTAGCACATATAGTTGTTGTAGAATCTTTAAGGAATATTCACTTGTGGACCATTCCAAGAATGCTGTCTTTGAAAGAAATTAAAAATAACGTTGGCTTATCCCATGTGTAAAGAAGAGTCTGATGTCGTCTTAAGGTCAGAGATAGAAACACCTGCTTTTGGATTGTAGTAGATACTGGTCACACGCTGGGTGTTTCTTTGGTGCGAGAGAAGCAAAGTGGTTCTTTCTTTCTTTTTTTTTAAGTGTTTTAGTGGTACAAAGCATTTCTAGGTTGGCTTTTAGTGCATTTAGAAGGCATCTCTGATGGGCTTCTAAAAGTCTGAGGTCTCCGCGTGGCCTTGCTCTCCCTGCCCTCCCCCTGCTGGCAGTCTGCTCTCCTCTTGTTAATCTGCCTGTACGGCCACTGAGACCCATTTGCTGTGCTATCCTAGGCCAAGGTCGTTCTCACCTTCACTGAGGAATTTATACTTTCACCCATGTTTGTGATTTTGGAAACTTCAGATAAAACAGAATGGTCTTTCTTTCTTTGGCTTGGTTGGATTCATGATTTTTAAAGGTACAATTTTGAGAATCCTATCAAAACTATCAGAATGGATATGTCGGTGCTGTCCGTGAAGCCTTAGTATGTTTCTTTCTTCTGCCTGTGGCTTGCAAAGGAAAGAGAAGCTACTATGTTAACACATTTTCAGGCTTTACTAAGATTCTAGCCACAGTCCCAGCAACATATTGGCCAGAATAAAGTGAGTGCTCCAGAGAGATTGTTATGTGTGGTTGAGTGATCTTAGTTCTAGTGCAGTGTTTCTTAAATAGTCCTTGAGGATTTTCAAATAACCCATACATGCTGTGGCTACTGAAAAATAAAGCCAGAATCCCTATGAGACATCCACGTCCTTCTATGCTCTCAGCAGGTCGGCCCTGCAGGCCCTGATGGATGGGGACGGCTCAGAGCTTCTTGGAAGAGAGGCAGGAAGACAGACTAGACAGGCTAGATCTGTGTGAAAGCACCAGGGAGCTGACTGTGGGAGTGTCTGGGGAGAATTTGTCCAGAGAATTTGTCCCCTTCCACAGTCAGACCATTGGAGGGCAGGGGGTCTGAAATGCGCAGGAATATTAGCATGAAGGAAACATTTTCCTTTACCTGTGAGCCAGTTAGTTCCCTCTTAACTGAGAGGGTGAGATAGGGAATGGGACCTGCCCCGGGAAATAGAAAAGAGGTCTGGGTGGTCTCATGTTTGCTCACCTCTCACATTAACCCACGCCCAGGGCCCTGGGCCTTAAGCCCTTATGCAGGTAAGTGAGGTTTGTTTATTATTTTGTTTTAAAACAAACTGCCTTAGTCCTGAAGAATGAATAAAACAATCAATACCTGTTTTTTGAAAAGAGTAAAATTAATCTTTGACAAAGTCCTACTTCTCAGCACACTTGCTAAGATCTAATTCAATGGGTGTGATAACTAAATAACATTGAAAGATGCTCAGATATAAGGGGCGGGAGCAGCATCTTTTTCAAGGGTGAGAGAAGCCGGGACTCTCTTCCTGGACAGGAGAAGGGAGTTGGCCAAAGACAGGACAGCCAGCTGGGAAGAAGGAGATGCCTCGGAAACCCTAGTCTAAAACCCTAGTCGCTGACGGAGTCTGTGACTTCTCTCTCTGTTGCCCTCACTAACCCTCATCCCCTGTCTGCAAATGAGACTAGAGAAGGGGCACCAGTTCCAGAGTTTCCTAAATTTGCTGTCCCCCAGGCATCTCAGAACCAGTGTCCTGTTGGAGAGCCTTCGGGAAAAGGTGCACAAAGTACCCTCTTAGGGCTCCATCACTGAGAGGTTTGTCAGGCCCTCAGAGATCTTTCCTGCTGGGCCCACTGCTGTGCTTTTCTGAGACACCCATTGATTAACGGAGCCCCACTATTTTTAACATGTTCCAGGCGCTAGCACAAAACACAGATCTTAAAGAACGCTTGCGCAGAATCCATGCCGAGTCTCTGCTCCTCGACACCCCCGCTGCCGCCAAGTCGGGGGACGATCTGGCAGAGGTGGGTAGGTTTCTTGTCTGGTAACATCTCCTTGACTGTTGCCTCCTTCCCGTGACACCCTCTGTCCAGTTGCACGGCCTTCCTGCTTCACCCTCATGAGTGGTGTGTACCTCTCCGCGTGCTGGCCACAGCGGCCGCGGGGGCTGGGGTCGCAGAAGCTTCCTTGAGAGTGTGCTGCTGACTGTACTTTTAAACTGCCTTTCCCCCCAGAACTCTTCTTCCTTTTGCATTTCTTCACCCCATTTCCCTCCTAAGTATCACCCATTTCCCTAGCTGTTACTGGAGTGGGAGCTATAGAGAGACAGACATTGTCTCCTGTTAATTCCTAAAATAACCCTATATTTCTCTGACCTGCAGTATCCCTGTTCCTTGCCTGCTTCCGTTGCTCCCTCTGTAAGAACCACTCTACTCTTTTCAGCTGTTCCCTCCCCCCCCCCACTGTGTTTTTTTAATTTTATTTTATAGAACACAGCTGTATACTTTGAGGGGGGGAAAAAGATAATTGCATTACAGTTGAAATATCTTGGTCCATAAAAAGGTCTTTTCTGAAGACGTGGAATGTTTATTCAAAGTAGTCTTTGAATGTGTTTAAAATGACAAATTCCAGAAACATACAAGTGGGTTTAGTCAAAATATTAGCAGGAAAGAGTAGTGAAAGTAAAAACGTTTTTAGTTATATTTTTTTATATGTATAGGCTTGCCTCAGATGTGCTAAATTTTTTATTAGCAAATTTATAGGATTGAGTGCATTTGCAATAAAAATAAGGAAGGTAACAGACACAAGAGTATGTGTTTATATACATTTTTAAAAGAAGTTTGTAACATTTAATCATAATCCTTCTTCGTTCTTTTTGCTGTTCTCAAAGAAAACAAACCCTCACACAGCCCTTTCACTCGTTGGTGAGCTGTTGTGTGGGGTGACGAGAGGGGCTGAGGCTGAAGTCAGTCAGCACATAGACTGCGAGGCCCCTTTGAAGTGCAGACTGCCACAAATGGACAGGACAGGACCATCTCATCCGATGACAGTCGCCCTCTCTCCGCGGAGGCTCGCAAGCCTCTTATTACTTCCACGCCACCTGATAGTGGTTGAGTGTGAAATTTCTCTTACAGATGCACTAGCCCAAGAGATTGCTTTCCAGTTATTTTAGCCCAGACCTAAACTGTCACTTGCAGGGTTGAGTGCCTAAACATTACTCCTGGTGGCCTTCATTTTAGGCCTGGATTGGGTCCTCTTTCGAATCTGCGTGTTTGCTAAAAGCAGAGCCCAGTCATGGTCCTGACCTTCCATCATGGAGGGTTGTTTGCTGCAAAGCACCATGGCATTCTTCAGAGTTTTGTGCATGTGTCCAGTTGGTACTTACTTTCTAAGTAGTAGTATTACATAAATTACATTTATCTATTTAACAAGTTAAATAGGTAAGCTTCATTTATGCTTTTATGACATTATGCTCAGCATGTATACTTGGGACTGTTTGTGTTTTGGAAAGGAAACCAAAACTACAAGTCTTTTAAAATGCATATATTTAAACTACATATATAAAAATGCCTATTTTTTAAACTGATCTCAGAAGTGACATACCTGAAAGCATAAATGCTATAAGCTGTCCTTGAGGGGTGGCAGTAATGTCCCTCAGAGTTACACCTTCTAAGACCTCCTTCTTGAGTCTCCAATCAATGGTACATTTGTCTCATTTATTTCCTCTCTGAGAGATTTTGTTTCCCATAGTTTCTCCTTCCTTTCACTGAGTGACTCAGGCTAACTTTCCTAACAAGGGAAAAGCTATTGTTGCATTCAGGAAATAAGTAGGAGAGTACGTGGAATTGGCCTCCCAGACTGAAAACTTGACTCCAGTTTTTTGGTTTTTTTTTTAGGTGGCTCCCAGGCACCCCAAAACTCTTTTGGGGCATGACAGTCCCCGACAGTGGGGTCAGCCCATGGTGCTCTGTTTTTAGGACCACTCACTTTCTTCACTTACTCTGTTAGCTTTTCTTTAGCCGCGCAAATCACTCATCTTTGGTGTTGGACCTGGTTACTTGCATTCAACAATCCCCCCTTTGCTATCAGAAAGTGCTCCTGCTGTATATTCCTGAATATGAAGATTTAATATGATCAGGTTATTAGTTCTTAGATTATTTTATGTTATGTTAGATTCCACATAAAAAGCCAAGTGACTTTTGGAGGTCATCCATGGACTCCATCTAAAGTCCATTTTAAGAGACTAAGAAAGGCAGGAACTTTAAAAGAAAAATCTGAAAGAAAAAAAGGGAACTTCTTTTAAGTTCCTACCTCCTTACTATGTCCCATATGCATTCGAAAGCATTGTCTCTCGGAGTCCCAACCATTGCTCCATGAGGTAGGTGGTGGGTGCTTCATTTTAGAGACAAGGAAACTAAAGCTCAGAGAGGTTAAATAACTTCCTTCAGACACACAGCTTGTAAGAGACAGCAGAGATTTAACATCTAATGAGGCCAAAGTACTTGTTTTCTCAGTAGCATCACACTGCTATATAATGAGGATAGATATATCAAGCCAGAAATAAGTATATGGGCAAAAAAAGGCATCAAAAAAGCTTCTGCACAGCCAAAGAAATAGTCATGAAAGTAAACAGACAACCTACAGAATGGGAGAAAATTTTTGCATCCTATGCATCCGATAAGGGACTGATAACTAGAATATACTTAGAACTCACGAAAATCAGGAAGAAAAAATCAAATAACCCCATTAAAAAGTGGGCAAAGGACTTGAACAGAAATTTTTCTAAAGAAGACAGAAGAATGGCCAACAAACATATGAAAAAATGCTCAACATCTCTAATCATCAGGGAAATGCAAATCAAAACCACAATGAGATATCACTTAACCCCAGTGAGAATGGCCTTTATCAAAAAATCTCCAAGCAATAAATGCTGGCGTGGTTGCGGAGAGAGAGGAACACTCCTACACTGCTGGTGGGACTGCAAACTAGTTCAACCTCTGTGGAAAGCAATATGGAGATATCTTAAAGCGATACAAGTGAATCTACCATTTGATCCAGCAATCCCATTGCTGGGCATCTACCCAAAAGATCCTATGACACTCTACAAAAAAGACACCTGCACTCGAATGTTTATAGCAGCACAATTCATACTTGCAAGGCTGTGGAAACAGCCCAAGTGTCCATCAATCCAAGAATGGATTAATAAAATGTGGTATATGTATACCATGGAGTACTATTCGGTTCTAAGAAACAATGGTGATATAGCACATCTTATATTTTCCTGGTTAGAGCTGGAATCCATACTACTAAGTGAAGTTTCCCAAGAATGGAAAAACAAGCACCACATATACTCACCAGCAAATTGGTATTAACTGAACAGCACCTAAGTGGTCACATAGGTACTACAGTAATAGGGTATTGGGCAGGTGGGAGAGGGGAGGGGGGTGGGTATATACATACATAATGAGTGAGATGTGCACCATCTGGGGGATGGTCATGATGGAGACTCAGACTTGTGGGGGGAGGGGGGGAAATGGGCATTTATTGAAACCTTAAAATCTGTACCCCCATAATATGCCGAAATAAAAAACCTATATAACACACACACAAAAAAAAAAGAACCAATGGGAAAGAGATGGTTTATTCAATAAATTAGGTTGGTGCAGTTCAAAGCAATTTAGAAATAAGTTTTAATCTTTCCATTTCATGCTAAAGTAAATCACCAGTGAATTCGAGTTAAATATAAAAATTCAAACTGAAAAATATTGATTTAAATACTTATCAAACTGCTAGAGTATGGGGGCAATAGAAAAAATTACAAAAGGAATGTTGACTAAATTTGACTATGTTTTTTAGGAAAAAAATAGGTTATATAAGGAAATTAGAAGGCGAATAATAAACTGGAAAAAATATTTTCAGTGAAAATGACAGACTTAGATAATGCTAAATCATTGATAATGTTTTTTATATGTAAACAATAAACAAATACTATCAAGCAACTTAAGACCTCAATAAGGAAATGGAAAAAGGATGTAACTCACCAAAAAAACCAAAACAAAACAAAAAAAAAAAAACAAAAAAAACAAACCCAAATACAGATTGTTGTGAGGTTTTTTGGTTTGTTTTTTACTTTTTGTTTTGCAATACAAATTCACAGGAAAGTGCAAAGACATGCAGAGGAAGGACCCCAGCACCCTCTAGCATCTCTCAATATTAACATCTCTATAGCTTGTTTTTTAAAAAGGAAAAAGTTCTCAGCCTAATGAAAATTAAAATTAGATTAGCACAAACATTTTTATAAATTATGGTATTCAGTGTCCTTGATATAGAGATTCAGAGAAAATAGGGGTTATTACTTGTTGATGTGATTAAGAAATATATATTTTGCCTTAAATGTTTTTAATAATTCTACTTCTGAACATTCTAAGAAATAATGAGATAAAGCGAAGACATATTTACAAACATGCTCACACCATCTTTGCAGATTTGGAAACACCCTTAAACTTTTGTTTCCAAAAGTTCATTGTCTTAAAGAATTTTAATGGTCTGGGAAAATATTCACAATATAGTGTTAAGTGAATATAGCAGATGATATATAGACTAGGGACAGTTCGATCCCAATTTTTCAAATTAAAAAAAATCTATAGAAAAATATTTTAATGCAAAAAAATATACCAACAGGTTAATAGGAACTACATCTAGGTGATGGAACTTGAAGCGATATTTATTTTATTTACATTTTTCAGTGTTTTCTTATTTTGAATAAATATTACTTTTGTCCTCAGAACACATTTTAATTTTGAAAAAATCTATTTTGATATTGTTTGGGAGAAGCTTATAAAATCACATATCTATATAAATACTATTATTACAGTTATTTCAAAACAAAGCCAAACTGACATGTATAAAAAGGATTGGAGAGAAATGTGTCAAAATGCTTATTAAAATGGTTGTTTTAGTGTGATTAGATTATGAGCCTTCTCTTCCCTCCCTTGCCTCTGCTTATTTCACTTTTTGCAATGTA